AGGGCCCTTTGGTTTTTGCCAGGCACTTTCTCTCGACTCGTCGCTCACCTCTCCCCCTCACCATCACCAACCCCCTTCCCTCTCCCCTCCTCACCCTGGTGTGGGTGTTGGATGCCACACCGGGCCAAGTGAGAGCAGGGGGCGATGGGGAGGATCATCCTAGCCTTGAGAGTTGCAGGAATTTTCTCAAATCTTTACTTTTGAGTCGACTCCAAGCCTAGCTTCACTACCCGCAGCTCCCTGAGAATTATGTCTGAATTTCTGAGAAAATGACTTTTAAGTCGACTCAAAAGTCACCTTGAGAGCAAGGGGCGATGGAGAGGATCATCCTAGCCTTGAGAGTCAATGCTAAATTCAATCTCGTCTCTTTCACTCCTCTCCTTTCTTCCCCTCACCTCAAACCAGGTGTGGGTGTTGGACGCCACACCGGGCAAAGTGAGGGCAGGAGGCGATGGGGAAGATCACCCAGCCGACCTGATCGATGCACTCAGAGGCATGCCGCCCCTGGTAAGACCTCGTTTCAGTAATCAGACTGTGGAAATCCTCAATAGAAACCCTTCAGATTTTTCCGTTATCTAAGCTTTTCTCGCGAACTTGCACACTGCTCCCGCCCTCAATCGCCTTCCTCCCAGTCTGCCTTGCTCCTCATCTAACTTCTCCCACCCACTCCTCCCACCCTGCTCCCTCTCCCACCTCTTCCCTTGCGCCCTCCCACATTGCTCCCTTGTTTATGGCCCCACGTTGCCCCCCCCCTGTTGCTCATCCCAACCCTCCCCTCCCCCACTGTACTCCCCTCCTCAGATTCTGGATCGCAGAGAGGTGGTCAACTCTCTCCTCTCTCAAGGCTTCTCCAAGCCCATCGCGCAGTGGATGACCACCAAACTCACCACCCTGCTCCTGCCCTCCCTCCTCCACTTACCCTACTACCCTGTTCCCCTGCTCCCCCCACCCTGCCCTCCCCCATACTGCTCTGCCTTTTTCAGATTCTGGATCGCAGCGAGGTGGTGAGCTCTCTCCTCTTGCAGGGCTTCTCCAAGCCCATCGCGCAGTGGATGACCACCAACCTCACCACCCTGCTCCTGCCCTCCGTTTCCCACCCACCTTGCTCCTCTGCTGCCCCCCCTGTGCTGCCCCCCCTCTGCTGCCCCCCCTGTGCTGCCCCCCCTGTGCTGCCCCCCCTGTGCTGCCCCCCCTGTGCTGCCCCCCCTGTGCTGCCCCCCCTGTGCTGCTACCCCTGTGCTGCCCCCCCTGTGCTGCTACCCCTGTGCTGCTCCTCCCACACTACTGCTCACCTGGCAGATTCTCGACCGCAGCGAGGTGGTGAGCTCTCTCCTCTCGCAGGGATTCTCCAAGCCCATCGCGCAGTGGATGACCACCAACCTGTCCAAGACGCACCCGCCTTCACTAGACCTCGTGCGGGACCTGCCTCCTTCACAGCAGCAGCTGCATGAGGAGGCGGCGCGGGCGGCTAGTAGGGGGCAGGCGGCGTATGGGTGGGCGTTTGATCTGGAGGGGATTGCTCAGATGTACTCGTCTTATGAGACCACCAACCTGTGGTGAGCTTAGGCTATGTGTGCTGTGGTGTGGTTCAGTGCGGTGGGGTGTGGTGCGGTGCCATGTGGTGTGGTGTGGTGTGTGGAGCAGGGGGCTGGGTGGGCGTTTGATCTGGAGGGCATTGCTCAGATGTACTCCTCGTATGAAACCACCAACCTGTGGTGAGTTTAGGCCACTGCGGTGCAGTGGGGTGTGGTGTGGTGCGGTGTTGTGTGGTGTTAAGGCAGGCGGCATATGGGTGGGCGTTTGATCTAGAGGGGATTTCTCAGATGTACTCCTCGTATGAGACCACCAACCTGTGGTGTGGTGAGATTCAGTCACATGCGGTGTGATGCAGTGCAGTGCGGTGGGGTGTGTGTGGTGCCATGTGGTGTGGTGTGTGGAGCTGGGGGCAGGTGGCGTATGGGTGGGCGTTTGATCTGGAGGGGATTGCGCAGATGTACTCCTCGTATGAGATCACCAACCTGTGGTGAGTTTGGTAGGCCTTGCACTACGAGACTACATATGTGCAGTGTGTGCCTCTGTAACAAGCTGGGTGGCTGTTGAGTGACTCAGAGTCAACTTGCCTGGAGGGGATCGCACAAATGTACATCTGTACATATATGGAAACCACCAACATGTGGTCAACCGAGTGAGCAAATGTGGTCTGGTGTATGGTGGGTGGTGCCAGAGGGTGTGCTGTGCACATCAACTTCCTGTGTGCTGCAGAGCGTTGCTGTGCGGTAACTCTCTCCTTCCCACCCTCCTCCCGCCACTCCTCCCTGCCCCCATCCTCTCCGTTCCAGGCATCTAGTGGAGGACGTACCAGAGGGGGTGCACATCAACTTCCTGAGAGCAGAGCGCTCGCTGCACCGGTGGGCACGGGACGACATTCGGCGGATAGTGGGGGCAGAGCAGGAGGCCATGGGGCATGGCGCTGCTGTGCGGATGCACGTGCTGGAAGATGCTGGACACTGGGTGAGTGCAGTGCGGTGCAGTGGGGTTGCTAGGTGTCTGAGGATGTGAGGCACTGGGTGAGTGCAGTGTGGTTCGGAGGGGTCCCTAGGTGTGTGGGCGCGGAAGGACATTCGGCGGATAGTGGGGGCAGAGCAGGAGGCGATGGGGCATGGCGCTGCTGTGAGGATGCAAGTGCTGGAAGATGCTGGACACTGGGTGAGTGCAGTGCGATGCAGAGGGGTTGTGTGGGGATGCTGGGCACTGGGTGAGTGCAGTGCAGTGGAGAGAGGTTGTGTGGGGATGCTGGGCCCTGGGTGAGTGCAGTGCGGTGGAGAGGTTGTTTGGGGATGCTGGGCCCTGGGTGAGTGCAGTGCGGTGGAGAGAGGTTGTTTGGGGATGCTGGGCCCTGGGTGAGTGCAGTGCGGTGGAGAGAGGTTGTTTGGGGATGCTGGGCCCTGGGTGAGTGCAGTGCGGTGGAGAGAGGTTGTTTGGGGATGCTGGGCCCTGGGTGAGTGCAAGGCAGTGCAGAGGGGTTTGTAGGTGTGTGGGCACAGGATGACATTCGGAGGATAGTGGGGGCAGAGCAGGAGGCGATGGGGCTTGGCGCCGCTGTGAGGATGCACGTGCTGGAAGACGCCGGGCACTGGGTGAGTGCAGTGCGGTGCAGAGAGGTTGTGTAGGGATGCTGGGCACTGGGTGAGTGCAGTGCGTTTCAGAGTGGACTCGAGGTGTGATGCACATGGTTGGCGTGGGCATTGGGGCATGGGAAGGGGTGGATGCTGGGGTGAGGGACGGTGCTTCTGTGAGGGTGTCTGGGCACGGGCCTGGGACATGGGGCTGGGGCATAGGGCTCGGGCTGGGCATGTGCTTGGGGGACAGCCAGCCCTGAAGAGTTTCGAGGCACCTCAAAACTCGTTTCTGTGAGGAGGATGCATGGGCATGACGCTGTGTGATTGCACATCCTCGCACGGCGTTTCAAACGTCCCTTCCAAATCCCCATCCCCAACCCCCGCAGGTGCACACCGACAACCCTGACGGTCTCTTCCAGATCCTCGCACCTTCCTTCGGCCCCTCGCGCTTCAGGGACCATTAGGCTCGCCTGCCGTGCTGCTGTGTGGTTGCAGATTTGCTTTCAGTCGATTCTAAGCACTTCAGGGGCCATCAGGCTAGAATGCGAAGTTGTGTGCTTGCAGATTTTCACGCCTTTCTAGCCTCATGTTTTAGAGACCATTAGGCCAGGGTTGTGCTGTCTGAATTCGTTTTTTCTCGCTTCTTTCGGCTCCTCCTGCTTTAGTTTAGAGACCGTAAGGAGAGACCATAAGGCTGGTCTGGGCTACAGGGCTGTGTGAGTCAGCCTTCAGGTCCCTCCACACTTTTCACGCATCATTAAGCCAGGCTGGGAAAGGTGGAGTGGAGGTGCTTAAAAGGCGGATACGGTAAATGTGTTAAAAATGTTGAGTGGAGCTTTCGGTCCCTTGAGCTAAACCCATTACGTTGGGGCCTTGTGCAAAGGGAGCTTTAGGATGTGAGCTTCAGGGTTCAGTCAGTACGAGGGAACTTGGATTGGAAGTGATTGCTGTATATGCTGGAGGGACTATCTGCAGGAAGAGAAGGAGCAACGTTGTTGGGGGTGGTGTTGGGAGTGAAGTGAAGTCAATGGCATTTGAATTGATAACTGCATTTGGTTTGCTCAATTTTGGTTTGTATATTTTATAATGTTTATTTTTAGTAGTGTATATGGGTATGAAAATGCATCCAAGCACCAGAAATCTAAACGTTAATGGATTGAAGATGTGAGGTTGAAGATAGTGCAGATGAAGAGTCATTCAAATGGAAGCAAGACGTATGAGCAAACTAGCTGTTTATGTATTTTCTTGGAAATCTAACCTACTTGTCCTGATTAGTGATTTCGGCTCTCTACCGGGTACGACGAACACCCCGATACTCCCCGACACACCCCAACTTCGAATTCCCTTCGCCCAAGTCTGCCTTGCCGCTCTCCTTGATGCTTTGATGGTCGTGGGTGTTGCCAGTTGACTCAGCGAGGCGCATCGACGGTTTTCACAGAGACGACTCCTTACACGACCAGCAATCGGCCGTCCATCGCCAGCACGCGCTGCGCTCTTATATTAGTTGTTGCCGATGGGTCACCCGACCATCCTCCTTCTCGAGAATTGGTTTTAGAATCCCAACAAGGTATTGTTACGAGCGGAGCCCTTGCGAAGCCCATCGCTCCGCGCCGAGCCCGAGCCGAGCCGAGCCGAGCCGAGCGGAACCGTACCGCGACGCGCGGCGCGTACCGATCCGGGAATGGACGAGTCGGACCCCATCGTTCCGCACCCTCCCGCCGATCGCGGCGGCGGCGACGACGGCGGCGGCGGCGGCGGCGTCTATCATGATTCTCTCGCGCTGCGCCAGCGGCCACGTGGCTGCAGCGCTGAGAGGTGGGTCCGCAATCGCCGCCGCGATTGCCGCGGCGCTGCTGGCATGACCGCTGGGTCCGCTTCAGGATGCGGCTTGACGCAATCTCGAGCGACCAATACCCACTTGCTAAGTCGAATCGCCGCGTCGAAAGCCACCTCGCTGCTGGAGATATCGGTGGGTCTGGTTTAGGAGGCCGCTTGTTTGCAGCCTCGAAAGACCAACAGCCACTTCCACTTGTCAATTGCTTGCACCCCCCTCTCAGCGTGTCAATTGCGTAGCGCGTGACGTCGCCACTCACACTGCCTTTGAGAAGAGGGGGGTGCGTAGCGCGTCGCCGCTCACAGTGCCATCTATCCTTGGCGGGCACTGCCGCTCTCCACTCCCTCCCTCTTGCTCCCCGTACTTTCCAGACTCTTCCCTTTTTCTTGTCTGCGCCATCAACATGGTCAACTGCATTGACCGGGGGAAAGGCCATCGCCCGCAACAAGAGGGGTTGATGGCAGGCACTGCTGATCTTCACTCCCATCCCTCCTGTTCCCCCTCCCAGCTTGCTCCTGCTCTTCTGCGCCATCAACATGGTCAACCACCGGGGGGCCATCGCTAGCAGCAGCACGAGGGTCAATTCAAGGCGCTCCCACTCTCCACTCCTCTCTCCCTTTATCCCCCCATCTCCCTCCAGTCTCCTCGTACTCGTCTGCGCCATCAACACGGTCAACTACATCGACCGGGGGAGGTGCCATCGCTGGCACAGCACGAGATTCATTGGCAGTGACACCCTGCACTCCCATCCCCCACTATTGCCCCATCCAGCCTCCTTCTCCTCTTCTGCTCCATCAACATGTTCAACTACATACATCCACAGAGGGGCCATCGCCAGCAGCATGAGAGTCAAGTGTACCATTCTCATCCTCCCTTCTCCTCCCGTGACCCGTCCATTCCCCTCCCTCATTCGCCCAGCCTGCTCCTGCTCTTCTGCGCTATCAACATGGTGAACTACATTGATCGAGGGGCCATCGCCAGCAACGGAATCAACGGCTCTCCATCGCACTGCCAGGGGGACGTCTGTGACTCTGGCAGCGGCATTCAGTGAGTGGTGGGGGCAGTTGGTGAGTCAGTGGTAGGGGCTCTTAGTGCTGCTTATTGGCTCTTAGTGCTGCTTATTGGCTCTTAGTGCTGCTTATTGGCTCTTAGTGCTGCTTATTGGCTCTTAGTGCTGCTTATTGGCTCTTAGTGCTGCTTATTGGCTCTTATGCACGGATGGGTTTTATTCGAGAAAAAAGGGATGGGTTCGCTTCACTAACCACACCCAACCCTTCTGAACCCCTCCAAACCAGGGGTGATTTTGCTCTTTCCAACTTCCAGGACGGCTTGCTAGCCACGGCCTTCCTGGTGGGGCTCCTCACCGCCTCGCCTCTCTTCGCGCATGCCTCCAAGCGCCACAACCCCTTCCGCCTAATCGCTCTCGGCCTCCTCGTCTGGACGCTCGCGGTGGCCGGCTGCGGGCTATCTCCAGGCCTGCTCTCCCTGCTGCTGTGCCGCATGTAAGCACCCCTTTTCCCGTTTCTCCCTCACCTCCTTCCTCCTCTCCTCACTGCCTCGCCTCTCTTCGCGCATGCCTCCTTCCGCCTTATTGCTCTCGGCCTCCTTGTCTGGACACTCGCAGTGGCCGGCTGCGGGCTGTCCCCCGGCCTCCTGTCTCTCTTCTTCTGCCGGATGTAAGCGCTCTCCTCCCGTCCTATCCCTCTCTTCGCCCATGCCTCCAAGCGCCACAACCCCTTCCGTCTCATTGCTCTCGGCCTCCTCGTCTGGACGCTTGCAGTGGCCGGCTGTGGGCTATCTCCGGGCCTGCCCTCCCTCCTCCTCTGCCGCATGTAAGAACTCCCCTCGCTTCCCCGTCTTCTCTCTCTCCTCCACTTGTTTTCCCGTTTCTCTCCTCCTCCTCGCCCTCATCACACGGCCTCGCCGCTCTTCGCGCATGCCTCCAAGCGCCACAACCCCTTCCGCCTTATTGCTCTCGGCCTGCTCGTCTGGACGCTCGCTGTGGCTGGCTGTGGCCTCTCCCCCGGCCTCCTGTCCCTCCTCTTCTGCCAGATGTAAGTACTTTCCTCCTTTCCTGTATGTCTCTTCGCACATGCCTCCAAGCGCCACAGCCCCTTCCGCCTCATTGCCCTCAACCTCCTCGTCTGGACGCTCGCAGTGGCCGGCCCGGTGGTGGGCTATCCCCCGGCCTGCTCTCCCTGCTTCTCTGCCGCATGTGAGTGTGTTTTCCCTTCCTCTCCCCTCCCCTTCCGCCTCATTGCTCTCGGCCTCCTCGTCTGGACGCTCGCTGTCGCAGGCTGTGGGCTATCTCCGGGCCTGCTCTCCCTCCTCCTCTGCCGCATGTGAGTGCTCTCCTCTCCTCTCGTACCGTAAACCCTCTCTCTCTCACTCATTTCCTATCAGCCTAGCAGCGCCCTTCACTTCACAGACGACAGCGCTCCAACCAGTGTGCCCTTTTGCACGCCATGCCTTGTTCCTTCTACCTCGGCTTCTCTGTTGGCTTTTTCTCAGTCTTACCTTCCCCTCTTGCTCCCCCCTCCACACCTCAGGCTAGTGAGGGTGGGGGAGGCGTCGTTCATCGGTCTAGCAGCGCTCTTCATAGCGACAACGCCCCACCGAGCAACATGGCTCAGTGCCCCACCCCCTTCTACCTCTGCATCCCGGTCAGCTTTGTCTCACATCTAACTTCTCGTTTCCCTGCCCTATCATGCTCCCCTACACATACGTACAGGCTAGTGGGGGTGGGGGAGGCGTCGTTCATCAGTCATTTGCAGCGCCCTTCATAGACGACAACGCGCCACCAGGCAAGACAGCGCAATGGCTCGCCACCTTCTACCTCTGCATCCCTCCCTCGACCCATCACAAGCCTGTCCTGTTCCTTCCTCCCTTGTGCATGTCTCCCTTTATCCTCTCTTCAGGCTAGTGGGGGTGGGGGAGGCGTCGTTCATCAGCCTAGCAGCGCCCTTCATAGACGACAACGCACCACCGGTTGTGCCCTTTTCACCCCATACCTCTTTGTCCCCTCCCTCCACACACCTCAGGCTCGTAGGTGTAGGAGAGGCGTCGTTCATCAGCCTAGCAGCGCCCTTCATAGACGACAACGCGCCACCGGGTGTGCCCTTTGCACCCCATACCTCTTTGTCCCCTCCCTCCACACACCTCAGGCTCGTAGGTGTAGGAGAGGCGTCGTTCATCAGCCTAGCAGCGCCCTTCATAGACGACAATGCCCCACCAGGCAAGACAGCGCAATGGCTTGCGACCTTCTACCTTTGCATCCCGGTCGGCTTTGCCCTCGGCTATCTCTACGGGGGGGTGGCGGGCCCGCTGCTGGGATGGAGGGGAGCGTTCTTATTGGAAGCTGTTTTCATGCTGCCGTTTGTGGTCTACACTGCCACTGCTGATCCTCCTCCCCTCAAAGGTTACACGCTGCCTGCTCCCTTGGTGCCTCCCCCTCTTCTGCTTCCCTTGCCCTCTTCTCTCTCTCTCTCTCTCTCTCCTGCCTCTCTCTCTTTCACCTCCCCCCCTCTCTCTCTCTCCTGCCTCTCTCTCTTTCACCTCCCCCCCTCTCTCTCTCTCCTGCCTCTCTCTCTTTCACCTCCCCCCCTCTCTCTCTCTCCTGCCTCTCTCGCTTTCACCTCCCTCTTGCCTCACACTCCTGCCGCGCCGCTTTCTACCTCTGCATCACGTTTTTTTTAATTCTCAAAAGGTCGGCTTTGCCCTCGAGTACCTTATGAGAATTCGCGTGTGATGAGGCGATTTTTGAGTCGACTCAAAAATCGCCTCATCACACGCGGTCGGCTTTGCCCTGGAGTACCTTACGAGAATTCTCCGCGGGCCTGCTGTCCCTGCTCTAGGTCGGCCTAGAGTGCCACTACTGGGGTTGGCTGGGCCGCTGCTAAACCGTCAGCTGGTAGTCTGTCAGCGATTCTCAGCCAGTAGATTCTCAGCCAGTAGATTCTCAGCCAGTAGATTTTCAGCCAGTAGATTGAGGGCGGAGGGGGCACCATCACTGGCAGCGTCGTCACATGTTGAGGCAGGCCAAGACAATTCTTCGCGTGGCTATTTTCTTTACTGTGTGCATGGCAGGCAGGACGCACGCCCATGGAAGTGCTGCTGCTGATAATGATGAGGAGAGGGCGGAGGGGGCACCATCGCTGGCAGCGTCGTCACATACTGAGGTGGCTCCGCAGTCGAAGCATAGCGAAGGGTCTCTGCTGGACGACTCGCTTTCTCTCGCTCGCAACGACATCTTCACCATCAATGTCCTCGGTATGATGGGTGTGGTGCGATGCAGTGCGGTATGGTGCGCATTATGGACGGTGTGCTCGGGTGCTGCATGCTGAGCATGTGATCTCTGCAGTTGAAGCATAGCGATGGGTCTCTGCTGGATGACTCGCTATCACTCGTTCGCAACGAGATCTTCACCATCAATGTCCTCGGTAGGGTGGGTGTTGTGCGGTGCAGTTCGGTACAGAGCGAGTTAGGTGTGTTGGGTGCTGCATGCCCAGCTTGTGTAAGGTAGCCTCCATTTCCCTGTATCTCCTGTCCGTTTCCCCTCCCCCTCCCCTCGCAAACCCCCAGGCGATGCGGCCTACACCTTTGTGATTGGCGCATATGCCTACTGGGCGCCCAAGGCAACGAGGGAGATATTCCACGAGGAGAGAGCAGATGCCCGTTGGAGGGGATGGCACCTCACTCACAATCCGGCCTTGCTTCCACTCCCCTTGCTTCGTCCCTCGCCCAGGTTATGCGGCCTATACATTCGTGATTGGCGCGTATGCCTACTGGGCGCCCAAGGCAATGAGGGAAATCTTCAATGAGGAGAGGGCGGATGCACTCTTTGGAGGCATCACGGTGGTCACTGGCGTGGGCGGCACGCTGTTCGGCGGTCTCATGCTGGACCGCATGGGAGCCACCATCCCCAACGCGCTGCTGGTATGTTATGGTGTTGTGCGGTATGCGAATGTGGCGCTGTTTGGGGGCATCACAGTGGGGGCAGGGGTGGGCGGCACGCTGTTTGGTGGTCTCATGCTGGGCCGCATGGGTGCCACCATTCCCAACGCGCTGCTGGTAGGTTGTGTGGTGTGTGTGGTATGCACGCATGCGTTTGAGCATGACGGTTGTGACTGGCGTGGGTGGGGCGTTGTTCGGTGGTCTCATGCTCGACTGCATGAGCGCAACCATCCCCAAAGCGCTGCTGGTGTGTATCATAAGCATGCACCTAGGCTCGGCCTATGTACGGGTTTAAGCATCACCGTTGTCACCGGCGCTGTTTGGAGGCATCACGGTGGTGACAGGCGTGGGCGGTACGCTGTTTGGTGGTCCTATGCTCGACCACATGGGAGCAACCGTCCCCAACGCGCTGTTGGTATGCACACATGCCCCTAGGCTCAGCATCACGGTGGTGACAGGCGTGGGCGGTACGCTGTTTGGTGGTCCTATGCTCGACTGCATGGGAGCAACCGTCCCCAACGCGCTGTTGGTATGCACACATGCCCCTAGGCTCAGCATCACGGTGGTGACAGGCGTGGGCGGTACGCTGTTTGGTGGTCCTATGCTCGACCGCATGGGAGCAACCGTCCCCAACGCGCTGTTGGTATGCACACATGCCCCTAGGCTCAGCATCACGGTGGTGACAGGCGTGGGCGGTACGCTGTTTGGTGGTCCTATGCTCGACCGCATGGGAGCAACCGTCCCCAACGCGCTGTTGGTATGCACACATGCCCCTAGGCTCAGCATCACGGTGGTGACAGGCGTGGGCGGTACGCTGTTTGGTGGTCCTATGCTCGACCGCATGGGAGCAACCGTCCCCAACGCGCTGTTGGTATGCACACATGCCCCTAGGCTCAGCATCACGGTGGTGACAGGCGTGGGCGGTACGCTGTTTGGTGGTCACATGCTGGACCGCATGGAGGCAACTTCTCCAAACGCCCTACTGGTGTGTTGTGTGTGAGTAGTATGCACCTAAGCATCACCATAGTCACCACCATTGCTGTTTGGGGGCATCGTGGTTGTGACTTGGCTGGGCGGCATGCTGTTTGGTGGTCTTATGCTCGACCGCATGGTTGCCACCATCCCCAACGCCCTCCTGGTATGCATATCACATGGGTTTCCATGACATGCATGTGTGCGCGTACGTTGGGCCCTGCTGGTATCTGGCCATTGATGGGAGAGGGCAAACTGTTTGGAGGCATCTCAATGCTGCCGGGCATGCGGGGCACGCTGTTTGGCGGTCTCATGCTGGACCACATGGGAGCCACCATCCCCAATGCGCTGCATGTGTGTATGTGTGCACCTAGGCTCGGCCTGTGCACCTAGGCTCGGTCTGTGCACCTAGGCTCGGTCTGTGCACCTAGGCTCGGTCTGTGCACCTAGGCTCGGTCTGTGCACCTAGGCTCGGTCTGTGCACCTAGGCTCGGTCTGTGCACCTAGGCTCGGTCTGTGCACCTAGGCTCAATCTGTGCACCTAGGCTCAATCTGTGCACCTAGGCTCAATCTGTGCACCTAGGCTCAATCTGTGCACCTAGGCTCGATCTGTGCACCTAGGCTTGAGCATCACCATAGTCACCACCCTTGCTGTTAGGAGCCATCGCGGTGGTCACGTCACTGGGGTGGCATGGGTGCAACTATTCCCAATGCGCTGCTGGTATGCTCTGTGTAACAGTGGTGGGAGCAGTATTCTGTCTGCTCGCCTTCGCCTCTTGATCCATCGCCCTCTTTTACCTTTTCGTTCTTCATGCCCTCACTCTCCCTCTCCTTCCCATGCCCTCCTCCCCCGTTTTCCCCCACCCTTCAGTTGCAATCCCGTGTGACAGTGGTGAAAGCAGTCTTCTACCTCCTCACCTTCGCCTCCCTCTCCATCCCTCCTCTTATGCTCCTTGTCCCTCTCCATCTCCCTCCCCCCCCACCCCCCCCGCCTTGCTATGCCTCTCCTCTCCATCAGCTGCAATCCCGGGTGACAGTGGTGGGAGCTATTTTCTGCCTCCTTGCCTTCGCCTCGCCACACATCACTCTCTTTGTCGTCTTCATGGCTGTCGGGGAGTTCTTCATCTTCGCCATCCAGGTAACCAGCTGGTAACCAGCTGGTAACCAGGTGGTAACCAGGTGGTAAACCCGAAATTTGGTAAGAATGTAGCAAGGTGGTAACCTCTCCACACTTCGCCCTCTCGTCCTCTCCATGACTCCTGAGGGAATTTCTTCATCCTCGCCGTCCAGGTACTGCTGGTAACCAGTCAGTAACCAGCAAGTTGGTAACCACACAGCTGGTTACCAAGTGGCGGTCGTCATCGCCTTCGCCTTGCCACGCATCTCCCTCTTCGCTCTCTTTAAGTCTTCCTTGGTGCCCTTTGTGCTCTTTGTGCCCTTTGTGCCCTTTGTGCTCTTTGTGCTCTTTGTGCTCTTTGTGCTCTTTGTGCTCTTTGTGCTCTTTGTGCCCTTTGTGCTCTTTGTGCTCTTTGTGCTCTTTGGGTCTCTCCCTCTTTCTCGTGTACCCACCAGGGACCAGCCAATCATAGTGTAACTGCAGTGCGTACCTACTTGATCGCCCTCTCTCATCCTGCCATGCCCCCCTCTCCTCTTTCACCTCCACCCACCAGGGACCAGCCAACATAGTGTCACTGCAGTGCGTGCCATCAAACCTCAGAGCCCTCGCAATAGCCGCTGCAACCGTCGTTGCTCACCTGCTAGGGGACGTGCCCTCGCCGCCCATCCTCGGCCTCCTCCAGGTGCCTTTCGCCTTCAGGTTTTTTCTCAGGTGCCTCCATCCTCGCCCTCTTCCAGGTGCCTTGCCTTTCTCCCTCAGGTGTTTCTCAGGTGCGGCCATCCTTGGCCTTATCCAGGTGCCTTTCTTCCTCAGGTTTTTCTTCAGGTGCCACCCAGCCCTGACATACTCTCTCGCCCTCCCTCTCTCGCATTGGCCTGTGCTAATTTTGAGCCAGAGGTCACTTCTTTATCATCCACCTCACCACTCCATACTGCCTGCCTGCTGCCACTCCCAAACCCTCCCTCTTCCCTCCCTCCACCCCACCCATGCGCACAGGACATGGTGGGAAACTGGCGTATCAGCATGGAAAATCGTGGTGCTCCCCGCCCTCCACTCTGTGTCATCCCTTCCCTCTTATACCTCCTCTCCACTCTCTGCTCCCCGCCCCATGCTCCGTGCCCCATGTCCTATGCTCACATTCAGGACATGGTGGGCAACTGGCGCATCAGCATGGGGATGTTCACAGCCGTGCTTCTCCCTGCTGCAGCCTTATGGGCTCATGGTATCCCCGCTCTCCCTTCTTGTTGCATGCGGTTTTTTACTCTTTTTTGTTTTACAATCTGCAACAATAAGAACTTAAAAATAGAACCTGCGTATTCACTGCCATGCTGCTGTCTGCAGCTGCCTTATGGGCTCATGGTAACCCCACTGCCCTTCCCCCCACTCCCTCTCTCTCCGCACTCCCCTCCCTCGTCCAGTCCCTCCCTCTCTCGTTTCTCCCCTCCTCTGTGCAGTCCTGCCTATGAGTGTGTTTTTCTGCACCTTGCCAGAAACGAGTGGATTCGATCCGTGGAAGTCTTTTAGCAATAGATGTAGTTCCAAAGTTAAGCCCAAACCCTGTGGGTGTGATTTTCTGCACCCTGCAATCGCAATGCTCGCCCATTTTTGCTCCTCCTCCCAATCCCCTCCCCTTGCAACCTCTGCACGTGCTATGATCCATCCCAGTTCTCCCCTGTCTTCCATGCTCTGTTATCTCTTCAGGTGCGACCCTGGTGGTGCCTCCCTCTCACCGCAACAGACCGTTCAACCCATCCTCCACTCCTCCGCATCTTCCTAACCCCCCCTTCACTATCTCTCCTCTGCATGCTTCATCTTGCTTACCTCCCTTCCAAATTCTTTTCTTCCTTCGCAACCCCTGCAGGCGCAATCCTGGTGGTGCCCCCCTGACCCTTCAACACAATCCTTTCCAATCTTCCATTGTGTTTCTCTGCAGGTGCAACGCTGGTGGTGCCTTCCTCTCAGGACAACCCAACCATTCATCCCATTCTCTATTCCAACTCCTCCTCACCCCCTGTCACTATCTCCCCCTGACACACTTCATCTCGCTTACCTTCCTTCCTACCCCTTCTACTGCTCAACCCCTCCAGGTGCAACACAGGTGGTGCCTCCCTCTCACCACAGCAAGACCATTCAACCCAATCCCCTCTCTTCCATTCTTTTCCTCTGCAGGTGCAACGCTGGTGGTGCCTTCCTCTCACGACAATCAAACTATTCACCCCATCCTCCACTCCAGCTCCTCTTCACCCTCCACTTTCTCCCCCCTGCATGCTTCATCTTGCTTACCTTCCTTCCAAAACCCCTCCTCCCTCTCAACCCCTGCAGGTGCAACGCTGGTGATGCCTTCCTCTCACGACAATCAAACTATTCACCCCATCCTCCACTCCAGCTCCTCTTCACCCTCCACTTTCTCCCCCCTGCATGCTTCATCTTGCTTACCTTCCTTCCAAAACCCCTCCTCCCTCTCAACCCCTGCAGGTGCAACGCTGGTGGTGCCTTCCTCTCACGACAATCAAACTATTCACCCCATCCTCCACTCCAGCTCCTCTTCACCCTCCACTTTCTCCCCCCTGCATGCTTCATCTTGCTTACCTTCCTTCCAAAACCCCTCCTCCCTCTCAACCCCTGCAGGTGCAACGCTGGTGGTGCCTTCCCCTCACGACAACCAGACCATTCAACCCATCCTCCACTCCGACTCCTCCTCCCCTTCCTCCTCCTACACTCACCTCCACAGCTCCACCACTCCCACCACCAATCTCACCACAAGTGCCACTACTAGTGGCGTTGGCACCAGTGTTGGCACCGGTACGAGCATCGACAGCCCAATGATTCAAGCGCGGAAAAGATCGGCGAGTCCTGGCAATGGCAACAGCATCGAATCCACACCACTTTTTGGTAAATTATAACCATACGACGTTGTTTGCTACAGTACTGATATTGACATCAAGGAGGTTCTTGTTCATCAGTTCCTTATAATTGTATATAGCATTTCACGTGCAAAATCCCACTTCTGGTGGATTTCTTACACAACTATCGTAACAAAACCACATTCTGATTTGTAGCACACCGCACCGGACTGCACCACATTACACCTCTAGGGATCTTTGCACCAAAAGCACCTCTGAGACTGGAAGCACACATACACATGAATGAATTCTATGAATCAGAATGGGCTGCGTATCTGAGCTTTTTTTCATAAACAGTACTCAGCACATCTGAGCCCAAGGCATCCCATCCAACACATTCAACTTACGGTAGGGCTAATTACTCTAAAACACCACGGATCTCAGCAGGTTAAGAATTACAATACAAGCCGCCGCTGTGATCAGTCTACCCTCGACTCCCTAACCTCTGATACACTCTACTCTCACTCCTTTTGCAACCTCCTGCAAATTTGATCCCCACTTTCTCCTCCTCCTCATCCTCCTCCTTCCCATCCTCCTATCTGCTCCTATCCTCCAATCTGCTCAGCAGCTGCTTCCATTGATTCCTTGACTCCATAAAGCCTCAACCCAGACCTTGTTCCAAGAATCCTCCTCAAAATATGCCTCTCACCGCCTCTTCTCTTTCTCACTCGCCTCGGGCTCAAGGGCCTTGTCGAAGGGCTGAAGTGTGCGAAGAGAACGCTTAAGCAACAAGATCGAATCCTCCCTCTCTCTCACCGCCTCCTCTCACTCCCCTCGTACCCCCCTGCAAACCCCACTACTTCCTCATCCTCCTCGTCCTCCACAGCCAGTTGTTGCAGCAGCAGCTGCTTGCCTTTCTTCCTCGATTCCCTCCGGTGCTTCTTTGCTTCTAGTCTTGGCTCTGCCACCACCACCCCATACCCCCCACTCTTCAACCTCACATCCCCTTCCCTCTTGGTACCAACGGCCCGGATTTCCGCTGCTTCCCGCGCTCTGATCTCGTCCATCAGCATCACGTAGTGCCGGTACCGCTCCCAACCGCTGTCCACCGCACACCCGGGCTCGCTGATGTGGCGACAATCGGCGAATGCACAGGAGGTGGGGGAGGCGGCCAGACGAGTGCGAATCTGCATTGTTGCGAGAAGTGAGGGTGCAAAGGGGCAATGAGGAGGAGGGGGAGAGGAAAGGGGGGGAGAAGGGTTGGGGTGGGAGAGGAGGGTAGGGGAAGGAGATGGATGTGGGATAGGGAGTGATGGGGGAGAGAAAAGGATGGGGAAGAAAGAAGGATGAGGGAGAAATATATGCAGATAAGAGGAGGGAAGAGTGGAGACACAGGAGGTAACCTCAGGAACGAGCATGGGGACGTGGGAAGAGGAAATGATTGAGTTGACTTGCAGTTACAACTGCTGGATGTATACATGCATATACAGAAATATAAGATTATATAAAGACCTCAAAAGAGTACCTCAGGGAAGAGCATGGGGATGGCAGAAGGGGAGACGTTGGGGAGGGATGGCTGGCTGAAGCTTTGGTTGAGCGACATATGAAAACAAGTACCTCGGGAAAGAGCATGGGAGGGTTAAAGCAGGTCACGTTGGCAAGCGATGGCTGGCTAAAGCCTTCTCTTTTAAGGTCTGAGACTAAATACCTCAGGAAAGAGCATGTGAAGGTCGGAGCAGGTCACGTTGGCCAGCGATGGCTGGCTGAACCCCGGTGAGTCTGCTAGCAACCCCCCACTGCCGCTGCTGCTGCCGCTGCTGCTGCTGCTGCTGCTGCTGCTGCTGCTGCTGCTGCTGCTGCTGCTGCTGCTGCTGCTGCTGCTGCTGCTGCTGCTGCTGCTGCTGCTGCTGCTGCTGCTGCTGCTGCTGCTGCTGCTGCTGCTGCTGCTGCTGCTGCTGCTGCTGCTGCTGCTGCTGCTGCTGCTGCTGCTGCTGCTGCTGCTGCTGCTGCTGCTGCAACTGCTGCTGCTGCTGCTGCTGCTGCTGCTGCTGCAACTGCTGCTGCTGCTGTGACCGCTGCTGCTGCTGTGATCGCTGCTGCTACTGTGAATGCTGCTATGGACGACATTGGTATTACTACTACTGTTACTGTTAGTTCTGTTACTATTGCTACTGTTGCTAATACTGCTGCTGTGGTTGCAATTTGCGTCCTCTTCCTGTGCCCTCACTCCCTCCATTAGCCCCATCGTGTCTCCCTCTACAATCACATCCTGTACTGTTGCGGTCATGTCGCCCTCTATAGTCACATCTGGTACTGATGCAGCAGCGTCTCTCTCTATAGTCACATCTGGTACTGTCGCGGCATGGTCTCCCTCTATAGCCACATCTGGTATTTTCACAAGTGCCACGTGGCGTGTTGTGTGTCGCCCCCTCCCACTCCGCTTCGAAACCTCCCCAACCCTCAACTCCTCATATTTAGCCTCTCCACCTTCTCCCTCCCCTCCCTCTTTCAAGCCATCCGCATCACAAACCTCCCCATTATAAGCGTCCCCGTTATAAGCCTCCCCCAAAACTGCGTTAATAAGGCTGGACTTGCCAACCCCACTCGGCCCCGCAATCACTGTAGTGCGACCCGCCAGGAGGCCTCCCGGGCCCGCCAGATGGCGGATTCCAATTCGCCGCTCCACACTGCATGTGAGCATTTGATAACCCCACTCTGCTGCCCGCTGCTGCCACTCCCGCACTGCCTGAGGAGAGAGGGAGGCAGGGACGGAGGGAGCACAGGAGGGAGGAGTGAAAAGGAGGGTTGAAGGAAAAGCACTGCATGTGAGCATCTGATACCCCCATTCTGCTGCCCGCCGCTGCTACTCCCTCACTGCCTGATGGGCGGGAGGGGAGGGAGGGGAGGGAGGGGAGGGAGGGGAGGGAGTGAGAGTGGGAGAGGGAGTGAGAGTGGGAGAGGGAATGAGAGTGGGAGAGGGAGTGAGAGTGGGAGAGGGAGTGAGAGTGGGTGACGGAGTGAGAGTGGGAGAGGGAGTGAGAGTGGGAGGGGGAGTGAGAGTGGGAGAGGGAGTGAGAGTGGGAGAGGGAGTGAGAGTGGGAGAGGGAGTGAGAGTGGGAGAGGGAGTGAGAGTGGGAGAGGGAGTGAGAGTGGGAGAGGGAGTGAGAGTGGGAGAGGGAGTGAGAGTGGGAGAGGGAGTGAGAGTGGGAGAGGGAGTGAGAGTGGGAGAGGGAGTGAGAGTGGGAGAGGGAGTGAGAGTGGGAGGGGGAGTGAGAGTGGGAGAGGGAGTGCGAGTGGGAGAGGGAGTGAGAGTGGGAGAGGGAGTGAGAGTGGGAGGGGGAGTGAGAGTGGGAGAGGGAGTGAGAGTGGGAGAGGGAGTGAGAGTGGGAGAGGGAGTGAGAGTGGGAGAGGGAGTGAGAGTGGGAGAGGGAGTGAGCATTGCATGCGAGCATGTGAGCATTTGACAACCCCACTCTGCTGCTCGCTGCTGCCACTCCCACACTGCCTGAGGAGGGAGGGGAGGCAGGAAGGGAGGGAGCAGAGGAGGGAGGGGAAAAAAAGGAGGGTTCAAGGGAGAGAGGAGGGGGGTGTCAGGGTGGGGACTTCTACAGATACCTGGTGACTGAATGTGAGCATCTGGTAACCCCACTCTGCCACCAGGGGTTGCCCTCCCGCACTGCCTCGTGGGAGGGAGGAGAGAGGGGGGAGAGAAGGCCTGCAGTATAAACACAGCCCAGCACCCTGCTACAAGGCAGCCCAGCCCAGCCCAGCCCATCCCAGCCCAATTCTTGAGAAATGTGCGACGTCTCAAAAGCCCAAACCTTGAGAATTTACCAGAAATCAGACCCCACCACAACGCAGCAACCCTCGCCTCCTCGTCCACTAGATATGCACCAATGACACGGCGACACAAGCATGCACACATGCACTATTCCTGCCTATCATCAGATCAGAACGTCCAATATCCTCACCTCCTCATCCACAAGATCCGCCTTGTTGAACACCAATGACACGGCGACACCTGTCGCCTCCGCAGCCACCAGAAACCGGCTCACGTTCGACGGCTCGGGCGGCGGCTGGGCAAGCGAAAAAAGCAGCAGCAGGTGGTCGGCGTTCGCGACAGGCGGGTCCAAAATTTCAGATGCCCGGGGCAGGGCTACGTCTTGAACAACAGCCTGGCGGGCAGCCCAATCAATTCCACCTAGCCTTACAACGTCCCCCACTAGAACCCTCCTCCTGAGTTTCTTCAGCAGTGCTCGCACCACACACAGCAACTCAACCCCCTCCCTCTCCTCATCTCGCCCCTGTCCCCCCTCCTTCTCCTCCTCCCTCCCCTGTCTCCCCCCCCTTTCCTCCCTCCTCCCCTCCCTTCTCTCTGTACCCTCTTTCCCCTCTCTCCCCTCCGCGCCCTCCGCCTGCAGCCTCTGCTCCCCCACTTGCTGCTCCGCTGCGCCTCTTGGAGTCTCCCGTTGCCCACCTGCTCAGATGGGAGGGTGGCATGGCATGCATGAGCAGAGAGGCCGAAGGAGAGGTGGGAAATCCGTTCCAATGCCCCAGTGTCTGTCTGCTGCCCCACTTGCTGCTAAGCTGCGCCCTTGGCGTCTCCCCTCCGCCCCAGCCTGAACAGATGGGAGGGTGGCATGGCATGAAGAGGCAGGGTTACATTACGGTGCCACTTGCACAGTGTGGCTTTTGAGTCGACTGAAAAGCCAATCTGTGTGGCATCTGCAAGCAGAGGTTGGATAGGTTGGATACGTCATGATGCCAATTGCATTGATTGCTACTGCCTGACTGTCTGAACGCTTGGATTTCCTGCTTCAGCTTTGGGAGCGGGGAGAGGTTTAACAGAAGGTTATGGTAGGGGTGGTTGAAAAGTTTAAGGTTCTTTTGGGGATGGGAAAAGCGGCAGTGAGAGGGGTGCGGGGGGAGGGACGAGGGTTTGCGGTTTGGGGATTCGGGGGCTTGAGGAAAGAAAGGCAAGGGCGTGGGCAGGGGCCGGAGAGGGTTCAGGGTTTCTACTTCTTCTAAGAGCGAAAACAGTTGGGAAAGATTGAAGGTTTTGTGGAGGAGGATACTCTAGCCGTAACAACGTATCATCCCACCTTGGAGTGATTGACCGTTACTGCTTCGGTCCGACTCCTCTCCTCGCACCTCGATGCCCTCTCTCTCGCCTTCTACACCGCATCTCGTTACAATCACGCGTACGAAGTTAGCCTGAGCGGACATAACTCTTCCCACTGCTTCCCTAGGCCCCAGCCGCCAATCCGCGCCCAGGTCCGCCACATCGCGCTGCATCCGCCCTGCGCTCTCCGCGGAACCGTCTCCGCCATCGCCCCCGTTTCCGCCCCGCGGACCCAGCGGAACGGCGCGGTCGTTCCGCCGGGGGCTGCGGTTGCGAGCGTGGAAGGGGGTGGATTGCGGGCGCCAGTCCTTTGGCCGCTGCTTCATCGCGCCTCCCCCGTGGTTCCGCCGCCCCGCCACCACCGTGAGGTGGTGCGGGCGCGCAACAACGGGAATTGCGCGCGGGGGCGCCCGCGGGAGGGCGCGCGAGAAAGATAGCGGAGCATATTGTTGTGGAAAGAGGTGTGAGAGGGCGGTCTGTGGCGGGATCGGGAAAGATCCAAGTCGGTCGAATCGAATTCGCCGCAACATTAGGTCGAGACGCTGATAACATTCGTTTAAGTCTAACGTTGATGCGATCAGAGGAAGAAGTAAGTTGGCGGACTAACGTGCTTCATCTCTATTGGACGGAACTTGGTGCGAAAGAAAAGTAGCACGGATAGGGAGGACATGTTGCTCTGTGTGAATGTGAAAGGCGAAATATGAGGATACCTGGACATAATCATGAGTGCCTACACCGCTTGGTATATACCGGAAATGCTGCAGCTGTTCTTATCGAGTCCGACTTCAAAGGTCATCTGCACGCCGCTGCATTTTCGACGGCCGGCGATCGTCCTCGGTGCTGCTGCTTGTGTGCTGGGCGTCTGACTGGGACCGGGACAACACGTCGTCGTCGTCATCCTTGAATGATGACCACGTTATGGCAACAGTTCTGAATGGGTGTGGAGTGGAATGATATCTCATTGGTGATACAGTAAGTACGTCTTGCACTGTGCGACAAAGGAAGGTGGGGTGCTCCAATCACAGAGCTCCCAAAACAGCTGGGGGCAGGGCAAGTCGTCAGCGTCCACTGGTTGGATGCCTCCCCGACGTTCCAATCGAAACCCAAACATTCCAATCTCTGGCGAACAACCTGCGCGTCGACACACAGCACTGTACTGTAGTGTATTTTTCGGTGTGATGGACCAATCACATGCGAAATAAAGGCCAACGAACAATCACCGTACAGTAGCACGATCTTTGTGGTCAACAAACACACGCTTGAAATCGACCCTCGCTGTCGTCAAACCTCCCAACCACAAAAGTTTCACGTTTGGTGGTGTTTCCGTCAGTCTATTTTGTGTTTCGTTGTGTTTTCTTCATGTTCTGTGCACGATTGCGGTCTGGTCCATGGTGTTTATCAACGCCCTACTTTGTTGACAGTTCCACAAGCCAGCCACCGTGTTCAAGGGTTTCCTGGAAAGAAAAATCAGTTTGGGTGCCTAGAGGGTATGGAATCAAAGTCTGGACTTTGGATCCACCAGCCAGCCACGTTGGCTATCTTGCACATGTGAACTCTGCTGTGCTGCCTTGCATTGCGTGGCTCTGAGATGCTGAATTCTCGTCTGAGAGGGCGCTGTCTTATTTCAGGGTGAATCCCGCGCGCCACTCGGCTGCCCTTCTAGGTTAATCTTTATGCTGTACAAAGACATACTGGGTAGTTTAAGTCATCACACTCGAATGCGAGGTCGCCTTCTCCCCAACTTCTAGAATTTTAGCTACAATCTGAAGGAGGATGTAGAGTCAAATTCTAGAGACTTTCGTGCCTTATAATATCATGCCCAGACCAGTTTTGTGGGAAAGGTGCAGCAACGCGATATTTTGCCAAGCGAAGCCCAAGCTTCCATGATTTACCTAAAAAATGATTTCGCCGCCTGCTGGGATATACTCTTCATGATTGTGTCTTCGTTTTTACATGCTTTACACACGATGCTCAACCCCTGCGCGCGAATTTGCCCACGCAAAGATGGAAGTCTGCACCCTTGTTTTTTTTGCTCGACAGTTGCACCCGAATTACAAGCCCCTCGGGCCGTTGCAGTGGTTATGAACCAATACGAAGCACAGAAACCGAAGTCAAACAGAAGAGACTGAAGTCAAAGTGTCAACGAGAAGTTACAAAGTTTTTATAAGCCCTTTTTTGCTAGGTGCGATGTTGACGAAATTCGTGAAGCGACGAGAATCATTTAAAAGTCCCCTTCACAAGGTAACTTTGGGTTAGTCAAACGAGCATCGTGTGTAGTTCCTTTGACTCACATGAAGAGTCATGCTTTGAGCAACAGATTGAGGGGGAACTTTGATTCAAGCTATATATAGTATGTGGCGAAAACGAACTGCAGTGGTTTGTGATCGTAGACACCAGGGCGATGTTCGGCAGCACAGGGGATCCACCGAGGGATGGAGGGGGGGATCGAAATTCTCAGCTGGGGTTTCTAGTTCGGGGTGGTCAACTCGGAGTCAACCATCGTTGACTCCAAGTCGGGGGTCCAGGCGCAAGCGGAACCTTTGGGGGAAAAGGCGCGGATGAGCGACGCGGGAATTGGGGGCCCACGAAACTGCAGCCGCACGAAACGAAACTTCGCGAGCTGAACAGTTTACCTTCTCCCTGCCTCATTTTACTGTTGCGATGGGATTGGGTATATTACTTCCCGGAAAAAATTCACACCTTAAATTAAAATGAATGTCTTAAATGTCGTACTCACCCATTTTACCTTATTGAATACAACTGTTTTGCAATAAATTTCCGATGTCCAGTTTACCCGTCAGTTTAGAGTGTGGGGTACAATCATAAAACAATTTCGTGGTTGAGGGAATCCATTTTGCATCCCCCGTGGGTGAGGCCACTCACGGGAGTGCAATTTGGATCCCCTGGGCACTAGGGCGGATTTTTTCCGCCATGGGGGAGGTTTTGGGGGAGGATGCGGCGCGGGTTACAGCCTAGCGTGGTGTTCGCGTCGCGTTTTAGGCTTACGTTCGACAGTTTTTTCACATTTTTCTAGCCTGACCGAAGTGTTTTGCCTGGTTCGTACTGGTCGAGCCTGGAGGCTCGCCATTTTGATCCCCCATCAAACCCCCTCCCCTGGCTGCCGAAGGGTGAAAAGAGTTTACGAAGGGGGGGGTTCGCGCTTGCGGACCTGTATGGAGAAAGTCAGGTGACGCACACCCCAAACTCGGGTAGCCGCGAAAGTAGAAGTCAACCTTTATCAGCCGCCGCCGCTGCACTGTACACCAGACCATGCCGTGCTTTGCGGAACACTCACTCACCCCTTCCGTGAACTGTACCAGTCACCAATGCCCCTTTCCCAAGACCCAAGCCAAGACCCGAACTTCGAACTTCACTGTTACAACACCCCTCCCCGCCCCAACACAACCGCTATTCCCGCCCGCGCACCTCCATCCGTCCCCATAACCTCTCCGACTCACTGGCAGGAGGTTGCGTGGGTGGGGCAGTCACGTCAGCGCACAAGTCAGGGAACTGCCATCGCGCTGCAACAGCAGTGACCACATGCCTGCAGCTGGCGTCTCTCCCCCCTCCCCTCCCTGCCTTTCAGAACCATCGGTGACCATGTGTGAACCCCCCCAGGCCTTGCTGTGTGCACTTTGCATCACCGCAAACACTGCAGCCAAATTGATGCAATGTAGATGCAGGCACTCGCCAATTGCTGTCGCAGCGGAACAGGCTGTCAAACCATTTTAGTTTCGCGTGACAGGAACAGAACCAACAGCAAGCTGGCACTCCAGCAATCACACCGCCTTTCCCATTTCCACCCTTCGCCGCGGTTTGTTGCTCACTTGCCTACTTACCTCGCTGTTCGATATCCCCCTCCGTACCTGCCTGTTGTGAGCCTATTTCTGTCATCCCTCACGTTTTCCAACTCAGAGCCACAGCACTCAATCCTCTGTGATCCTGCGCCAGCTGCTCCGTTATCTCCGTTCCAATTTCCCTGCCGGGTGCACTTCGCGAAACATCATTTACAGAGCAGAACAGCATATTTCAGCTTCAGAGCAGAATAGCATCTTACAGCTGCAGAACAGAACTGCATCATTTTAGCCTCGATCAAATCACTAAAGCTAAAAAGGGTTCGCGATAGTAGGAGCCTCAGCCGACAGCGACCAGCAGCCGATTGCGTCTGGCCCATACAGCAACGGTACCGAAAGCGATCCCCTGACTTTAACTTCGCGACTTTGAGACGAAACCGCGACAGCCTACAGCCAGCAACCCCGAGTCGCTGAGTCAGCGTGACCTGCCACTTTTCGTTTTCGCGGCGAGACGCACACGTCGTTAGTACAAATCCCATGGTCTAAACACTAATCGACTGTCACCATGCCGCCGCTTCCCCTTGTCAAGGCCTCGTCCCTCCCCGCCGACTGCTCCGACCACATCCGCTCGCTCCGCATCTACGCGCTCTCCGCTGTCACCTCCTCCTCTTCCCCCGCCGCCGCTTCCGCCGCCCCCGCTTTCCCCCCCTCTTCCTCCGCCACCTCTTCCCCCGCCAACGCTTTTCCCGCCGACGGCAACACCACCGCTGCTTCCTCCCTAATCGCTTCCTCCCCGATTGCCTCCTCCCTGGTCGCTTCTTCGGGGCCCATGGCGGCATCTGCAATTCCTTCTTATGCCGAAGCCCCCTCCTTCCCCGCCGCGTCGCCTCTCGTCGGGCTGCCTCATTCGGCGCTTTTCCCCGTCTCGCGCGACTCGAGCCGGCAAAGCTCATTGGACAGCCAATCGCAAGCGTGGAAGCAACCCACGTTTCAGCGCACCAATCAGCGTCTGCTGTTCTGGGAGGCTGCACGAAACGGGGAGTGTTCGCAGAGCCTCCGCACAACGCTCCTCCGCACGCAGTCCTGCGCGGTCCTCGCCAACGCTGGCGCTTCCGCTTCCGCTTACGCCTCCTCTTCCTCCCCTAGAAGCAGCGCCGCCGTTCCCTTCCCCGTCGACAGCAGCGGTGTCGTCGCGCGATCCACGTCGTCTGGTAACGAGCTCGCAGACGTCGCCGCCGCCGTCGCTAGGCGCGGAGAAAGGACCCGACGACTGTCGTCGGGAGTGGTGGAGGCAGCACAACGGGTAACCGCGGGCCGGGAGGGCGCGGGAGGGGTAACCACGGGGTGTTTAAGCACGAGTTCTGGCAGTAGTGTGGGTTCCACGTGTAGCAGCAGCGCCCCCAGTGCTGGTAACAGTGGATCTAATTCGCCACGGATATGTTTCCCCGTCGCCCCTCTTCGCACATCGTCATGTCCCGTCGAGGATAATTCCACCAATGGGGACCGCATTGACGTAGATAACCCGATTCGGTCGCAGTCGCAGTCGCACGTGCACTCGCGCGTGAGCTCGCAATCGCTCGGGAATTCACCTGGTGCTGCCACGTCACGTCCAGTGTGGCGAACTGCATCCATCGAGGCGAGTAACCCGTTGCCGGCGTTGCCGACGTTGCCGACGTCTCCCCTGGCGCGAGCAGTTGCCGATGAATCCGTTTTTCACTGGGCTGCCCGAACGCGAATGGCGCGAGCGCGTATGGCCAGCGTACCTTCGACGTAATTGTACATATCTTCGTCTCTGCGCTGTCATGGGTTGTAAACGCTAAGATATGACAGCACATGGGCTGTCATTGGCCCAGGTGCTGTGATATGGACGCGCCAACTTCGGAACTCCATGCCTACGACCAGGTGTAAAAAAATCCGCATTTTTTCTGCCTTGTTTGAAGGCATGTTTCCGAATTGAATACTGTAGGTGTTTAGACTCTGTAGGAATCTTATGCTAGACATACAAAATATTGAAATGTAAACACACTTTTTGCATCTCAAAACTGTGTATTGTGGATGCGAAGCTGCCTATACCGAGCATTTGGCATCGTCAGAGCGCACTTTTTTTTTTTTTTTTTTTGGGTGTAAATATATTAACAAATATAGATACATCCGCATTCGTAACTGTATGTCTTGGAGGGCCTAAACCACACCACGTGGGCGCAGTACTGCCCCCCTGCGGCATGCTACGGAGGTTGATGGAACGTGCGCGGGTTGCGCCAGGTAGAAAGGAAAGGGGCCGCCCAGCTTGTTGGCCCATCTGCCCCGCATATCCTCTGAAGCTGCTTTTTCTCATCCGCCGTCACCTGGCTCCAATTGTCCGTCTTCCAGAAACTTCCCCTTTCGCCTGCTGTCGCCGCCCTTCCCCTTGACGCCAGCACTACCCTCGCATGCGTCATGAAGTCCAGCACAACACGTCTCCCCACCTTCTTTCTTTCGAAAGGAGCTGCGCGCCAAACGGCATCACACCGTGCCAACCATATCTGCCTAATCACCACCGATGTCAACGTCATTTCCGGAAATTCTGACGCCGTGCCCCCTTCTCCGAACAGTAGGTCCCCCAGACAGCTCACCGACCTGTTCGGATTCAGCATGTGCAGCGTCCATGACCGGCTGTATGACCGGGCAACTGTAGAGGCAATGTGCTAGGGTTTCTTCCTCTCCACAGTGCGCGCAAGCGATCCTGTTCCGGAAGAAGTCCAGCCTTCCCCCCACTTGGAGGTTCATACTGTGGATCCTGAGCAGGACGTCACTTGCCTTGTTCGGCACACAAATTGAGTCCCGAGTCTCAATGACCTTCCGCCAGTCAATCTTTTTGCCCCACACATCTTCCCACTCCGCCTGCCTCCAAGATCGCCCTTTCGATTTGGTTAGCACAGCTCTTACGCTACGTAGCGGCACCAGCTCCCCTTCAGCAAATAGTCCCGTCTGAGACATCAGCCGCACCTTCGGGTCGCCCACTGGCCCTACCAGAAATCCCTTCTGAACCACCATCGGCTGCAGCCTACACGCTTCGAAACACGTTCTCCTCGCCCGCACTTGAGCTTCTACCTTCCCGTCCGTCCGTCAGAGCGCACTTAGTACGCGTGACATTGCTGAAGCTGGCAGCAATGAGTGTGAAGAAGGAGCAAAATGCAAGATGGGGAAGGGACTGTAAAGGGCATTATAATGTGTATGGGAGCTTTCTATGAGCGGACAGGCAAGCAATTTTGCAATTGTTTCACTTATAGCGAGAATGTTGCGCATATTAAACAGGAGGGCGATATGTGCTATCGAGTTTTGCAGTAACTACAGAATGATTCTCGTGAGTTGGCGAAATTCATGGTGGCATGTTCTAAGAACGCGATGGTTCCAAGTTAGAAGGATTTGGAACTGGAATTTCTCAGCCTTTTGGGCTTTCGACTTCATTCGCGAAGAATTCGCTTAGACACTTGAGCCATCGCCTGATACCTCTCATCCACATCTCCGCGTTTCCGCATTTCCGCATTTCCGCGTCTCCGCATCTCCGCACATTCACACTTCCGCAGCCGTTCCGCGCGTGTCTGTTGACTCAGCGCACAACTCGCCGTGTGATCGCGATTTTTCCGCACTCTCGCCCCTCGCGTCTCCCCGCGGCATGGGGAAAGGCGGAGCGGGCGCAGGGGGAGCCGGGATGGGCGGCGGCGGGGGAGGCGGCGGGGGAGGCGGAGCGGCGGGAAGCGCGGTGCGCGTGTGCGTGTTCGACTCGCGGCGGGGAAAACGGGAGGGGGAAGAGGCGGAGAAGCTTCTGTTCTTCTTTCCGCCTGCCACTCCGCCGTCCGAGCAAGTGGCTCTACTTGGCCTCTGGGAGGGGTTACTCGCCTTCACTAGGTATCGTCACACCCGCTATAGTCACACTCGGTAGAGTTACACACGTTATAGTCACACTCGTATAGACATATTCTTTCCGCCCGCCACTCAGCCGTCGGAGCAGGCTGCTGGGGCTCTGGGAAGGCCTCCTCGCCTTCACCAGGTGACTCTATATTAGTCGACTCGTTATATTCGCACTCACTAGAGTTACACTCGTTATAGTCACATTCGTATAGGCATATTCTACGTTACACGCCACTCCGCCGTTGGAGCAAGTGGCGCTGCTGGGTCTCTGGGAGGCCTCCTCGCCCTCCTCCTCGCCTCCTCCTCGCCTCCTCCTCGCCTCCTTGCCGAATCTTCTATCTTCTCCCCCCTATCCTCCCTGAGGTGACTTTTGAGTCGACTCAAAAATCTTTTCCCCCCTATCGTCCCTGTGTGGTAGTGCCACCGTGTTTCCACCTCCATCCGTTTCCTGGTCCCCCCCTCCCCCTCTCCCCGTCTCACCCCACCTCCTCTCTTCCTTGCGCCCTTTCCCCGTGTCTTTGCCCCGCGCCCCCTGTCTTTGCCCCGCGCCCCCTGTCTTTGCCCGGCGCCCCCTGTCTTTGCCCGGCGCCCCCTGTCTTTGCCCCGCGCCCCCTGTCTTTGCCCCGCGCCCCCTGTCTTTGCCCCGCGCCCCCTGTCTTTGCCCCGCGCCCCCTGTCTTTGCCCCGCGCCCCCTGTCTTTGCCCCGCGCCCCCTGTCTTTGCCCCGCGCCCTGTACAACACCTGCCTCCATCCTCGTGCCTTTAGCTCAACTCAACTCCCTTCTCTACTCTCATTCCCCTTCCCTCTCTCCCCATTCTAGTTTTTTTTCTCCCAATCGTCGCTGTGAGGTGAAGGGAGCACATTTCCACCTCCTTGTTCTCTCCTCCCTGCCCCCCTCCTGCTCCCCATTGTCTTGCCTGTCCACATGTTGCCTGCCCTGCCCCCACGCTCCCCACTGTGCTATTCTACCTTAATCCCTCACGTGCTGCCTGCCGTTCCTCTGCCCCCCTCCTGCTCCCCATTGTCTTGCCTGTCCACATTTCGCCTGCCTGCCCCCATTCCCTTGGCCCAACCCCTTTCTCCCTTGCAGAATCTTCTCCCCAAATCGCCCCTGTGAGGTGATGCGAGCGCATTTTCATCGCTGCCCTTCACCTCGTGCTCCCCAACCCAACCCACCTCCTCTCTCCGTTGCCCCCTTGCCCCCCTTTCCCAGAATCTTCTCCCCCGATCGCCCCTGTGAGGTGATGCGAGCGCATTTCAACCACCACGTGCTGCTGGAGTGTGAACCGGGCATCTTCATGGTGCTGGTGAGTGCAATGGGTGGGGTGGGGGGGTGCTTTGATGTGAATGGGCCTTTCACTCACAGTCTACTTCCTCTCTCCGCCACATACTGCTGCTGGAGTGTGAACTGGGGATATTCATGGTGAGTGCTGCTGGTGGTGTGCTGGCATGGTGGGGCCTTGCATATTCATGGTGAGTGCTGCTGGTGGTGTGCTGGCATGGTGGGGCCTTGCATATTCATGGTGAGTGCTGCTGGTGGTGTGCTGGCATGGTGGGGCCTTGCATATTCATGGTGAGTGCTGCTGGTGGTGTGCTGGCATGGTGGGGCCTGGCATATTCATGGTGAGTGCTGCTGGTGGTGTGCTGGCATGGTGGGGCCTTGCATATTCATGGTGAGTGCTGCTGGTGGTGTGCTGGCATGGTGGGGCCTGGCATATTCATGGTGAGTGCTGCTGGTGGTGTGCTGGCATGGTGGGGCCTTGCATATTCATGGTGAGTGCTGCTGGTGGTGTGCTGGCATGGTGGGGCCTGGCATATTCATGGTGAGTGCTGCTGGTGGTGTGCTGGCATGGTGGGGCCTGGCATATTCATGGTGAGTGCTGCTGGTGGTGTGCTGGCATGGTGGGGCCTGGCATATTCATGGTGAGTGCTGCTGGTGGTGTGCTGGCATGGTGGGGCCTGGCATATTCATGGTGAGTGCTGCTGGTGGTGTGCTGGCATGGTGGGGCCTGGCATATTCATGGTGAGTGCTGCTGGTGGTGTGCTGGCATGGTGGGGCCTGGCATATTCATGGTGAGTGCTGCTGGTGGTGTGCTGGCATGGTGGGGCCTGGCATATTCATGGTGAGTGCTGCTGGTGGTGTGCTGGCATGGTGGGGCCTTGCATATTCATGGTGAGTGCTGCTGGTGGTGTGCTGGCATGGTGGGGCCTGGCATATTCATGGTGAGTGCTGCTGGTGGTGTGCTGGCATGGTGGGGCCTGGCATATTCATGGTGAGTGCTGCTGGTGGTGTGCTGGCATGGTGGGGCCTTGCATATTCATGGTGAGTGCTGCTGGTGGTGTGCTGGCATGGTGGGGCCTGGCATATTCATGGTGAGTGCTGCTGGTGGTGTGCTGGCATGGTGGGGCCTGGCATATTCATGGTGAGTGCTGCTGGTGGTGTGCTGGCATGGTGGGGCCTGGCATATTCATGGTGAGTGCTGCTGGTGGTGTGCTGGCATGGTGGGGCCTGGCATATTCATGGTGAGTGCTGCTGGTGGTGTGCTGGCATGGTGGGGCCTTGCATATTCATGGTGAGTGCTGCTGGTGGTGTGCTGGCATGGTGGGGCCTTGCATATTCATGGTGAGTGCTGCTGGTGGTGTGCTGGCATGGTGGGGCCTTGCATATTCATGGTGAGTGCTGCTGGTGGTGTGCTGGCATGGTGGGGCCTGGCATATTCATGGTGAGTGCTGCTGGTGGTGTGCTGGCATGGTGGGGCCTGGCATATTCATGGTGAGTGCTGCTGGTGGTGTGCTGGCATGGTGGGGCCTGGCATATTCATGGTGAGTGCTGCTGGTGGTGTGCTGGCATGGTGGGGCCTGGCATATTCATGGTGAGTGCTGCTGGTGGTGTGCTGGCATGGTGGGGCCTGGCATATTCATGGTGAGTGCTGCTGGTGGTGTGCTGGCATGGTGGGGCCTGGCATATTCATGGTGAGTGCTGCTGGTGGTGTGCTGGCATGGTGGGGCCTGGCATATTCATGGTGAGTGCTGCTGGTGGTGTGCTGGCATGGTGGGGCCTGGCATATTCATGGTGAGTGCTGCTGGTGGTGTGCTGGCATGGTGGGGCCTGGCATATTCATGGTGAGTGCTGCTGGTGGTGTGCTGGCATGGTGGGGCCTGGCATATTCATGGTGAGTGCTGCTGGTGGTGTGCTGGCATGGTGGGGCCTGGCATATTCATGGTGAGTGCTGCTGGTGGTGTGCTGGCATGGTGGGGCCTGGCATATTCATGGTGAGTGCTGCTGGTGGTGTGCTGGCATGGTGGGGCCTGGCATATTCATGGTGAGTGCTGCTGGTGGTGTGCTGGCATGGTGGGGCCTGGCATATTCATGGTGAGTGCTGCTGGTGGTGTGCTGGCATGGTGGGGCCTGGCATATTCATGGTGAGTGCTGCTGGTGGTGTGCTGGCATGGTGGGGCCTGGCATATTCATGGTGAGTGCTGCTGGTGGTGTGCTGGCATGGTGGGGCCTGGCATATTCATGGTGAGTGCTGCTGGTGGTGTGCTGGCATGGTGGGGCCTGGCATATTCATGGTGAGTGCTGCTGGTGGTGTGCTGGCATGGTGGGGCCTGGCATATTCATGGTGAGTGCTGCTGGTGGTGTGCTGGCATGGTGGGGCCTGGCATATTCATGGTGAGTGCTGCTGGTGGTGTGCTGGCATGGTGGGGCCTGGCATATTCATGGTGAGTGCTGCTGGTGGTGTGCTGGCATGGTGGGGCCTGGCATATTCATGGTGAGTGCTGCTGGTGGTGTGCTGGCATGGTGGGGCCTGGCATATTCATGGTGAGTGCTGCTGGTGGTGTGCTGGCATGGTGGGGCCTGGCATATTCATGGTGAGTGCTGCTGGTGGTGTGCTGGCATGGTGGGGCCTGGCATATTCATGGTGAGTGCTGCTGGTGGTGTGCTGGCATGGTGGGGCCTGGCATATTCATGGTGAGTGCTGCTGGTGGTGTGCTGGCATGGTGGGGCCTGGCATATTCATGGTGAGTGCTGCTGGTGGTGTGCTGGCATGGTGGGGCCTGGCATATTCATGGTGAGTGCTGCTGGTGGTGTGCTGGCATGGTGGGGCCTGGCATATTCATGGTGAGTGCTGCTGGTGGTGTGCTGGCATGGTGGGGCCTGGCATATTCATGGTGAGTGCTGCTGGTGGTGTGCTGGCATGGTGGGGCCTGGCATATTCATGGTGAGTGCTGCTGGTGGTGTGCTGGCATGGTGGGGCCTGGCATATTCATGGTGAGTGCTGCTGGTGGTGTGCTGGCATGGTGGGGCCTGGCATATTCATGGTGAGTGCTGCTGGTGGTGTGCTGGCATGGTGGGGCCTGGCATATTCATGGTGAGTGCTGCTGGTGGTGTGCTGGCATGGTGGGGCCTGGCATATTCATGGTGAGTGCTGCTGGTGGTGTGCTGGCATGGTGGGGCCTGGCATATTCATGGTGAGTGCTGCTGGTGGTGTGCTGGCATGGTGGGGCCTGGCATATTCATGGTGAGTGCTGCTGGTGGTGTGCTGGCATGGTGGGGCCTGGCATATTCATGGTGAGTGCTGCTGGTGGTGTGCTGGCATGGTGGGGCCTGGCATATTCATGGTGAGTGCTGCTGGTGGTGTGCTGGCATGGTGGGGCCTGGCATATTCATGGTGAGTGCTGCTGGTGGTGTGCTGGCATGGTGGGGCCTTGCATATTCATGGTGAGTGCTGCTGGTGGTGTGCTGGCATGGTGGGGCCTGGCATATTCATGGTGAGTGCTGCTGCTGGTGTGCTGGCATGGTGGGGCCTTGCATATTCATGGTGAGTGCTGCTGGTGGTGTGCTGGCATGGTGGGGCCTGGCATATTCATGGTGAGTGCTGCTGGTGGTGTGCTGGCATGGTGGGGCCTTGCATATTCATGGTGAGTGCTGGTGGTGGTGTGCTGGCATGGTGGGGCCTGGCATATTCATGGTGAGTGCTGCTGGTGGTGTGCTGGCATGGTGGGGCCTGGCATATTCATGGTGAGTGCTGCTGGTGGTGTGCTGGCATGGTGGGGCCTGGCATATTCATGGTGAGTGCTGCTGGTGGTGTGCTGGCATGGTGGGGCCTGGCATATTCATGGTGAGTGCTGCTGGTGGTGTGCTGGCATGGTGGGGCCTTGCATATTCATGGTGAGTGCTGGTGGTGGTGTGCTGGCATGGTGGGGCCTGGCATATTCATGGTGAGTGCTGCTGGTGGTGTGCTGGCATGGTGGGGCCTGGCATATTCATGGTGAGTGCTGCTGGTGGTGTGCTGGCATGGTGGGGCCTGGCATATTCATGGTGAGTGCTGCTGGTGGTGTGCTGGCATGGTGGGGCCTTGCATATTCATGGTGAGTGCTGCTGGTGGTGTGCTGGCATGGTGGGGCCTGGCATATTCATGGTGAGTGCTGCTGGTGGTGTGCTGGCATGGTGGGGCCTGGCATATTCATGGTGAGTGCTGCTGGTGGTGTGCTGGCATGGTGGGGCCTGGCATATTCATGGTGAGTGCTGCTGGTGGTGTGCTGGCATGGTGGGGCCTGGCATATTCATGGTGAGTGCTGCTGGTGGTGTGCTGGCATGGTGGGGCCTGGCATATTCATGGTGAGTGCTGCTGGTGGTGTGCTGGCATGGTGGGGCCTGGCATATTCATGGTGAGTGCTGCTGGTGGTGTGCTGGCATGGTGGGGCCTGGCATATTCATGGTGAGTGCTGCTGGTGGTGTGCTGGCATGGTGGGGCCTGGCATATTCATGGTGAGTGCTGCTGGTGGTGTGCTGGCATGGTGGGGCCTTGCATATTCATGGTGAGTGCTGCTGGTGGTGTGCTGGCATGGTGGGGCCTGGCATATTCATGGTGAGTGCTGCTGGTGGTGTGCTGGCATGGTGGGGCCTGGCATATTCATGGTGAGTGCTGCTGGTGGTGTGCTGGCATGGTGGGGCCTGGCATATTCATGGTGAGTGCTGCTGGTGGTGTGCTGGCATGGTGGGGCCTTGCATATTCATGGTGAGTGCTGCTGGTGGTGTGCTGGCATGGTGGGGCCTGGCATATTCATGGTGAGTGCTGCTGGTGGTGTGCTGGCATGGTGGGGCCTGGCATATTCATGGTGAGTGCTGCTGGTGGTGTGCTGGCATGGTGGGGCCTGGCATATTCATGGTGAGTGCTGCTGGTGGTGTGCTGGCATGGTGGGGCCTGGCATATTCATGGTGAGTGCTGCTGCTGGTGTGCTGGCATGGTGGGGCCTGGCATATTCATGGTGAGTGCTGCTGGTGGTGTGCTGGCATGGTGGG